TTTTTTCTTGTGACGAGAATTTTTGAGATCTACTCTCTTAGCAACTTTCAAATTCACAATACAGTATTGTGAACTATAGTCACCGTGCTGGTACATTAGATCCCGGGACTTATTTACCTTACAAGTGGAAATTTGTACCATTTCACCTACCCCCGCCCAGCCCCTGCCTCTGGCAACTACCAATCTCTGCTCTGTGTCTATAAGTTTGGGGGGTTTTTTTTGGATTCCACACATAAGTGAGATCAAACAGTCTTTGTTTTTTTCTGTCTGCCTCCTTTCACTTAGCATAATGCCCTCATGGGCCATCCATGTTGTCACAAATGGCAGAATTTCCTTCTTTTTTTTTTTTTTTTTAAAGATTTTATTCTTTCCTTTTTCTCCCCGAAGCCCCCGGTACATAGTTGTATATTCTTCGTTGTGGGTCTTTCTAGTTGTGGTATGTGGGACGCTGCCTCAGCGTGGTTTGATGAGTAGTGCCATGTCCGCGCCCAGGATTCGAACTAACAAAACACTGGGCCGCCTGCAGTGGAGCGCGCGAACTTAACCACTCAGCCACGGAGCCAGCCCCCAGAATTTCCTTCTTTTTTATGGCCTAACAGGAGTCATTGTATATATATCTCAATTATATATATATGTATTTGTATCACATTTTCTTTATCCATTTATCTGTCAGTGGACACTTAGTTTGCTTCCATGTCTTGGCTATTGTAACTCATGCTGCAGTGAACGTGGGGCTGCATATACCTTTTTGAGATAGTGACCTCATTTCCTTCAGATAAATACCCAGAAGTGAAATGGCTGGATCATATGGTAGTTCTATTTTTAATTTTTTGAGGACCTTTACACTGTTTTCCATAGTGGCTATACAAATTTACATTCCCATCAACAGTGCACAAGTGTTCTCTTTTCTCCACATCTTCACCAACACTTGATATTTCTTGTCTTTTTGGTAATAGTCATTCCAACAGGTGTGAGGTGATATCTCACTATGGTTTTGATTTGCATTTCCTGGATGATTAGTGATGTTGATCACCTTTTCATGTACCTGTCGGCCATTTATATGCCTTCTTTGGAAATATGTCTTTTCAGATCCTCTGCCCATTTTTCATTGGACTTTTTGGGGTTTTTTGCTATTGAGTTGCATGAATTCTTTACATATTTTAGATATTAATCTTTTATCAGATATATGACTTGCAAATATTTTCTCCCATTCCATAGGTTGTCTTTTCATTTTGTTGATGGTTTCCTTTGCTATGTGGAAGCTTTTTAGTTTGATGTAGTCCCACTTATTTATTTTTGCTTTTGTTGCCTTTGCTTTTGGCGTTAAATCCAAAAAATCATCGCCAAGACTGATGTCAAGGAGATTATCCCCTGTGTTTTCTTCTAGAAGTTTTATAATTTCAGGTCTTACATTCAAGTCTTTAATCCATTTTGAGTTGATTTCATGCCTGGTGTAAGATAGTGGTTGAGTCTCCTTCTTTGGCCTGCAGCTGTCCAGTTTTCCCAACACCATTTATTGAAGAGATTGTCCTTCCCCCATTGTATGTTCTTGGCTCCTCTATTGTAATTATTATTTGACCATATATGTGTTGGTTTATTTCTGGGCTCTCTGTTCTGTTCCCTTGGTCTATGTGTCTGTTTTTAAGCCAATACCATACTGTTCTGATGCTGATGCTTTGTAATCTAGTTTGACATCAGGGAGTATGATGCCTCCAGCTTTGTTCTTCTTTCTCAAGATTGCTTTGGCTATTCAGGGTCCAGATAGACTTTTTTATTACTATTTACAATGAAGATAAATTCAATTTATTTCTCCTATTTCATTTGACAACTTTTTTTTTTTGTTCAGAAAAATAATCTACAGCTTGGGGCTGGCCCCGTGGCCGAGTGGTTGAGTTTGCGCACTCCGCAGCAGGCGGCCCAGTGTTTCGTTAGTTCGAATCCTGGGCGTGGACATGGCACTGCTCGTCAGACCACGCTGAGGCGGCGTCCCACATGCCACAACTAGAAGAACCCACAACGAAGAATACACAACTATGTACCGGGGGGCTTTGGGGAGAAAAAGGAAAAAATAAAATCTTTAAAAAAAAAAAATTATCTACAGCTTGAAAATAAAGCAAAATTATGACTGTATCCTTTCAAAGTCACACTGGGAGAAGCTCCACCAAGTATGATATAACTTTCTGCGGCAATATTTCTCAAACTTGTTGGCCTTAGAACAACCCCATACATCCTAAAAATTAATGAGGACCTCAAAGCGCCTAGAGCTTTTCTTTAGGTAGGTTATGTCAATCAATATTTAATGGATTAGAAATTATGGCAAAAAATTTTAAAGCGTTTATTTATTAGATCATTTAAAAATAACAATAAACTCATTACATATGAACATAATATATATATATTTTAAAGATAACTATATTTTCCAAAATAAAAAAATTGGTGAATAGAATGGCATTTTTTTAGTTTGGCAAACCTCTTTAAAGTTTGGCTTAATAGAAGACAGGTGTCTTCTCATATCTGCTTCTGTGTTCAATCTGCTGAAATATCACACGCCAGCTCTGGAAAACTCCGCTGTACACTCATGAGAGAATGAGAGGGAAAAAGGCGAAGAATGTCTTAGTATTTTTATAAAAATGATTTGACCTTGCAGACTTCTTAAAAGATTTTAGCCCACGTAAGGGTCTCCAGGCCACTCTTTGAGAGCGTCTGACCTAGCGGAATGTACAATTAATTATGACACAGACTCTATGAAGTTAAATGTCAAATGGATGGATAATTTTAAAATGATGTTTTTTTCTCTGTGGATACAAATACTTTCTGTTCAGAAGAAAAGATAACCTCAGAGGTTACAATTTTTGTTTTAATTTAAGCAGTTTTTAAAATCTACTTTAGCAATCATGTGCTGGCATTCTTTCTCCCCCAGTGATTATGTATACCAGTCTCTCAAATTCTCCTTTAAACCACTTTTTCCATTCAGCTCATCCCCTTCATTAATGAGTTAAATAAACCTTTAACTTAAACTCACCGTTGGTACTTTCTCACTTTGTATTTATCTGAGAGTCATGGTTTTAAGTATTTGAATGTTATACCTTGATATTTCTCAACTTTTTATCTTGAAAAATTTCAAACCTTTAGAAAAATTGCAAGAATACCACAGTGAACACCCTTATGCCACTTACCTAGATTAGATCATTAAATTTTTACCACATTTGCTTTAACTCTCTCTCTCTATCCATCCATTATTCTATTGTAAGGATAAACTTTAAAAGCAAATTTTCTCAGTTGCCAAAAAGGAAAGGAACGAAACTTTTCCCTATTCCGCTTCTTAGGACATTTCTGTGAGAAAATTTAGTGATCGTGAATCCTTTCTCTAAACTTTTCTAAACAAATGAACATTTCACTTGAGATGCTATATACAAGGGCATTCTCCTACGCATCCAAATATAGTGATCTCACTCAGAAAATTTAGAGTTTATACAGTAAGCTATCCTATTCTCTAATATATAGTCCATATGCAAATTTTCCTATTAATACTAATAATGTCCTTTATAGTTTTCTTTTTTCCTTCAAGATCCAAAGAAGCATCACATGTTCCTTCTCTAGGAATTTGAACCCTCCATTGGCTAGGTAATAAGTTACATTTTTAACTTTTCTTCACCCAGAATTTCTGCTTCTTTTCTGTATGTAAGAAAGAAACAGGTGGCCAGCCCCATGGCTGAGTGGTTAAGTTTGCACGCTCCACTTCGGTGGCCCAGGGTTTGGATCCTGGGCATGGATATGGCACCTCTCATCAGCCATGCTGAGGTGGCGTCCCACATGCCACAACTAGAAGGACCTACAACTGAAATATACAACTATATGCTGGGGAGATTTGGGGAGAAAAAGCAGAAAAAAAGAAAGAAAGAAACAGGTAGATAATAGCATGATGTACTAGATTCAAATCTTTTTATTTGCAAATTATTTAATTTCACTAAGCCTCTGAATCAGTTAGGATACGTTTAGTTGCAAGTAACAGGAAATCCAAAATAAAAATGACATTTAATATCTCATGTAGAAATTAGTCTAGAATTAGAGCAGCTGCTCGGGGGTATCATCAAGAAGCCAGGTTCTTTCCATCCGTTCATTCTCAGCACTTTGGTTTGATGCCTTAGGCTGGCTCCCCTCATCGTTCCAAGATGGCTGCCACAGTTTCATGGTGACAGATGAGTGATAATGTTCAGAGGCAGAAAAAAGGATATTTCTCTGGTTGACTTTCTTTTCTTTTCTTTTTTTTTTTTGAGGAAGATTAGCCCTGAGCTAACTGCTGCCAATCGTCCTCTTTTTGCTGAGGAAGACTGGCCCTGAGCTAACATCCATGCCCATCTCCCTCTACTTTATATGTGGGATGCCTGCAACAGCATGGCTTGATAAGCGGTGCCATGTCCGCACCCGGGATTCAAACCGGTGAACCCCAGGCTACCAAAGTGGAAGTTGTGCACTTAAGCGCTGTGCCACTGGGCCAGCCCTGACTTTCTTTTTAAGAGGTAAGAAAACCATCCTGAAAGTCCCCACCATCCCTCACTGACTTCATTGGCTAGAATTTTATTCCATGCCCCTGCTCAAACCAATCTCTCGGCAAGTAAGACGACAGCTCCACGATTGCTCAGGCAAGGGGCTCAGACTCCTTTAAAGGATTTGTCTGCACGATGAACAAAATCTGCTTTGGGAAAGATGACCAACAGTGCTACACTAAGTTTTCTCCTTTGTCAAAAGGAGGATAGGGGCTGACCTGGTGGCGTAGTGGTTAAGTTCATGTGCTCCACTTTGGTGGCCCAGGGATTGCAGGTTCAGATCCTTGGTGTGGACCTACACACCACTCATTAAGCCATGCTGTGGCAGTGTCCCACATATAAAATAGAGGAAGACTGGCACAGATGTTAGCTCAGAGCCAGTCTTCCTTCAGCAAAAAGAGGAAGATTGGCAACAGATGTTAGCTCAGGACCAATCTTCCTTACCACAAAAAACTTTTTTAAAAAACCCCTCAAACTTAGAAAAAAAAAAAAGGAGGATAATAATATCTATGGAAGGTTGCTATGAGTATAAGATGAAATAATACACGTGAAATTCCCTAAGCTAGTGCCTAGCGTCAAATATGTGTTAAGATAAAATTTCTTCCCTTAGTTTCTTCTTAAGATTTTCTCCTGTTGTTCGGCCAAAAGATGGCAGCAGAGGGAAAAATTTTCAATTTAATATTCTCTGCTAGCAGCTGCTTAGCAGAGAATACTATTTCACTTAGTTCACCACTATAAATATGTTAGAATGATCAGAATCTTTAAGTACTCTGAATTTTAATATTGCTAGCAGAAAAATCTTTAATAGATTTTTTCAATTTTAATGTTATAACTATTCTTGTGATCACATACGGTTTCCACACATATCAATCACTTCAGATGAGGAGAATATATTGTAATTAGAATCCTTAGCTAGGAGAGCCATTAAGTAGACTGGAAACATGCTGCTGAAACCACTTGACTCTCCAAGTATTTTTATTTGAGGGGCAAATCATTTAATAATTTCACAATGCCTATATTCATACATGCTAATTAACCACCAGTTAATACTTCCATCTTCCAAAGGAATTTGCTATAATAACTTCAGTTCAGTTCAGCTGACATTTGTTGAGTGCCTGTTATATGCCAAGCTCGGTGCTCTGAGCTGTCTTGGAAGAGTCTATCAGGTTGGGCAAAGACACAAATAGAAATTCCAACACATAAGGTAAGTGCTAAGGTAAAGGCGTGTACGCGGTGCCATAGGAGCAATGAGAAGCGTGCTACACCCAGCCTGGGAGATCAGGGGCCTTTTTCTACGGCAGATGAGGCCCTGAGCTGCTGTTCAATGAATGAGCTGGCTTTAGAAGAGCAAGAGTTGGCTGAGCAAAGACAATCGGGAAGACATTCCGAGATGAGAACAATCAGAAGCCATGGCATGAATCTCAAGCTTACCAGTGGAATGTTGGGAGAGGGGAAGCCGTGAGCAGGGGACCACCAGCAATTACGTATTACCTGAGAGTAAGGTTGATTATAACGAGGAGGAGATGAAACCGGGGACCTGGGGTGTCCAGTTCATTGAAGTCTTTGCAGACCAACAGAGGAACATGAATTTTAATTAGTAAACAGTGAGTGAGTGTCTAAAGGGTTTTAGGCAAAGAAGGAATATGATAAAATTTTCCACTTTAGGTAAATCAACCTGACAGATGTGGCAGATGAGCTTAAGGAAGACAAGAGGAGAAGCAGACACATCAGACTAGGGCTATTTTCCAGGGAAGAGATCGCATGTGTTTGAACTAAGTCAGGGATGGCAGGTAGAAAAGAATGTTTTAATGATTGGAGAGAATTAAAAATTTTTAATTAAGTGGAGAGGATGAACCAACAAATATGGAGAAGTTGAAGATATGACTGAAAGGGGACGATTAATGCAGAAAAGTCCTGAAGAAGACCTTTCATGTAACAAGTTTCCTATCCATACCTGTATATAGCTACGACTACTCATTCAATTCTTTTTGCTGAATGTTTGCAAGGAGGCTCTGGGTGGTGGGTTTATCAATTTTTTGGCCACCCAGCAATGGAACTCCTTAATGTTCAGGAGAAATTCTCCACTGATTTTTAGTTGGAGGCAAGGATTCACTTCCACAACAACATACCAGATACTGCATTTTCCTAGCCTATCTTATCTCCAGTGCACAGACATGTGCCCTAGGCTTTGGCAATGTTCCTGTTTGACTTTTGACTGTAGAGCCAATGACAGAAGAAACAGGTGTGATGAACTTTCTCTTTGGCACCTGCTGGCTGCTCAGACTTGAGCCTGGTTCTCCAGCCTCCAAGCAGTTATCTGAGAAATGCAATATCAGTTGAATAAACTCCTTTTTTCTGCTTAAATCAGCCAGAGTTGACTACTATGGCTTGCAAATGGAATGCCAGGTGATCAAAACCTCGCTCTGATGTCCTTGGAGCCATCACCAGTCTCTTGCTGAGTAAATCACCCTTTCTCACTTTGTTCAGCCAGGGGCTTATCTGGTAACCCTACCTCCTATGTGTTCTGTCCCCAGGCATCCAGGAAATGGAGATGATTCTCTCATGGAAAAGTCTCTGAGAACAGAGTGGACAGTAGAGAGCAGGAAAGAGTGAGTGGAGATGCCTGGCCCACGGTGTCAAATGGATGTAATGTCTGTAAACATTTACGGTGCTTTGAGCATAGGCCAACCAGTATCAAATGTGATCTTATTTAACCCTCACAACATTATGAGGCAGGGACCTAATTTATAGACCCAAATTTACAGACCGGGAAAGTAAGGTTTATAAAGTCTGAAGAGATGGGCCTGGGATTTCAACCCAGATTCTATGTTTCTGGAACCTATTGATTGTAATTTCCAACCCTACAGCCTCCAAAAGATTATGACAGAATGGTGTTTGGGGATTTTTACGAGGTTGGTGTGAAGCGAGAAATTGTGTGTAAAAGATAGGCTGTGCTGAATTGACTTTGTTGTGAACTGAGAGGGGCCAGAAGCAGAGGGACAGTAAGAATATATGTGCGTGTATTTCGCTGTGCTTCAGAGATAACCTTCCTGTACCGTGCAACACTCTGTTGTACTTAAAAGTTATGTGATCAGTGTGGAAAAAGCGCATCATGGACTTAAATGCCTGCCTATACTAGAGGGGCTGGTTGAATGCAAAATAAAAGGGTTATTTGAATGAGAAGACCTAGGGCTAAAGTTGGATATATCTCTTGGCTGCCTGTCGCCTGGCTCTTACAGGCACAGCGGGGATAAGATTTTGTCATATGCAAAGTCCTTGAATAAATCAATTTCCATGGCTTGAATTTGTTCCAACCTAAATCTTTTCTACTGATACTCATAGAACCAAGCCGATGGATGCTGAGGCACCTCATGTGTGCATCAGGTGGAAGTGAGATGCTTGTACATTTACTTCCTGCTTTATATCTTAAATCCACTTCTCTTCAGGGAGGTGTTTGGGGGATGTTACAAAGACACAAAGTGGAAGGCAGTATGGAAATGGTAGAAAGAAACCAACATAGGCATGTGAAGCAAGATTGAGTGGTAAGACTATTAGTCTGGCTCCTCTGAGATGCAGATGTCAAGATGGGATTAAACATGAAGTATTTTATGAGGAGAAATGTTAGTGAAAGGAAATAGGGAGGGAACTGAGGAAGACTGAGTGATCAGAGCCATCCACTGACGCAAGACTGACCCAGAGTGCAGGAGAGAGAAAGAGAATGTTTGATGGAAGCATCTTAGACAGCCTGCAGCAAAGGAGTCCTTGAGACAAAATTAGCAATAATCTTTTAATATCACCCAATACTCATATTTAAATTTCTAATAGGGAGTCTTTTTTGAAAATTTATTTTATTAAGATCACATTGGTTTATAACATCATATAACTTTCAGGTGTACATCATTGTATTTCGACTTCTGTACAGACTGCATCATGTTCACCACCAAAAGTCTAGTTTCCATCCATCATCATATATATGTGCCCCTTTAGCCCTTTTGCCATGGCCCCACCACCTCCGCCTCTGCTAACCACCAATCTTTTCTCTATATTTATGTATTTGTTTGTTTTTTTATCATCCACATATGAGTGAAGTCATATGGTAATTGTCTTTCTCCATTGACTTATTTTGCTCAGCAAAATACCCTCAAGCTCCAGCCATGTTGTCACAAATGGCACGATTTCATCTTTTTATGGCTGAGTTGTATTCCATTGTGTATATATACACCACATCTTCTTTATCCATTCATCCCTTAATGAGCACTTGAGTTGCTTCCAAGACGGCTATTGTGAGTAATGCTGCAATGATTATTGGGGTGCACATATCCTTTTGAATTAGTGTTGTTCTTTGGATAAATACTCAGAAGTGGAATAGCTGGATCATATGGCATTTCTATTTTTAATTTTTTGAGAAATTTCCATCCTGTTTTCCCTAGTGGCTGCACCAATATACCTTCCAACCAACAGTGTATCAGGGTTCCTTGTTCTCCACATCCTCTCCAACACTTTTACTTCTCATCTTTTTAACTATAGCCATTCTGACGAGTGTGAGGTAATGGCTCATTATAGTTTTGATTTGCATTTCCCTAATAACTAGAGATGTTGAACATCTTTTCATGTGCGTGTTGGCCATCTGCATATCTTCTTTGAAAAATGTCTGTTCATATCCTCTGCCCATTTTTTGATTGGCTTGTTCATTATTTTTGTTGTTGAGTTGTATGAGTTCCTTATATATTTTGGATATTAACCTCTTATTGGACATATGATTTGCAAGTATTTTCTCTGAGTTGGGGGTTTGTCTTTTCATTTTGTTGATGGTTTCCTTTGCCATGCAGAAGCTTTTTAGTTTGATGTAGTCCCATTTGTTTATTTTTTCTGTGTTTCCCTTCCCTGAGGAGACATGATATTAAAAAAGATACTGCTAAGACCCATGCCTAATAGTAAATCTTTATTCAAGGTTTTCCAAGTGTCTAAAATTATCTTTATATTGTTGGTTTGTTTGATTAGCGTACAAAAAAATATCCACTTACCTCATGTGTTTTTTGTCTCTTAAAAATGTTTTGAAACTTGTTGGGAAAACAAGAAATTTTAAGACCCATAGGAAGGCACCAATTCATAAATATAGAATTAACTAACTTTATTATTGATCAAAAAAAAAATGTATGCATTCAGGTAGCCTGCAAATGATTACAAACCTATGGTGGATTTCAGCTCTGTTTATCTGGAATTAAAGCTTCAGTGCTTATGCATCATCCTACTCTTAGTGAACAGTCAGTAGTTACTCAATTTACATTATGACATTAAGCTTACTTTGATGTACTCTCTTTATAATTCTTTATCAGTGGTTTCTACAATTGCTCCTAATAGTACATCTACTTGACGGTAAATATGGTCAGTCACGTTATTCAGCATTCTTCCATAAGGTTAGATTACAATCAGTTTTCCACAGACTCTTTTAATCTCTCATAGCCTACCACATTTTTTAAAATAGTATTGAGTCGATTACAAAGCCGGGTCAATTGTCCTGTAGAATGTCCTAAATTCTCATTTTTGACTAAATATTCCTCCTTAACGTTTTCCTCTATCCTCCATATTTCCTGTAGACTTCAGGCTTCATTAGATTCACATTCAAGGGTTTGTTTTTTGTTTTTAAGGCTATTTCGGAGGTGGTGGTGTGTACTTCATATTGCACTATATTCAAAAGCATGTAGTATCTGATTGTTTCACTTTTAGTGGATACTAAGATTGATCAGTGAGTTCAAATAGTGACAACTTGATCCTTTTTTAAAAATTTAAAAAATTTTTAAATTTATTTATTTTAAAACGTTGGCACCTGAGCTAACATCTGTTGCCAATCTTCTTTTTTCTTTGTTTATTTATTTTTCTTCTTCTTCTCCCCAAAGCCCCCCAGTACATTGTTGTGTATTTTTAGTTTTGGGTCCTTCTAGTTGTGGCATGTGGGACGCTGCCTCAGCATGGCCTGACAAACAGTGCCATATCGGCGCCCAGGATCCGAACCAGCGAAACCCTGGGCCACTGAAGCAGAGCACGTGAACTTAATCACTCCGCAATGGGGCTGGCCCAACCTGATCCTTTTATTGTAAAGTTTTCCATTGATCTTTTACGTAATAATTTTATCATCCATTGATAACCATTATTTGAGTCATTTCCTCCGGAGTTGCAAAATGTTGATTTTCTAAATCTAATATAAACCTCTTATCTGCTAGAGCTATTTGATCTCCAGGAAATACTGTTCATACTGGAAAAGCTATATGAATTCTCAGTTCTTTCCCTTTAATTATCAATTTTTAAAGGAATGAGTTGATGTCCGGCAACCTTTAATTGTGTCCATGAAGTCTTATTTTTTTCCTTTCTATTCCTTAAAAAAATTCTGCCTTTTTATATTTTTAATTCATTTTTATCACTTGGAATCATAATTCTTTTTGATGATCAAATTATCTCATTATTGACCAATGGGAGCCTCTTCAAGTTCTTGGGTTTTTTCTGTTTTTTGATGTGTCCTCATTATTAGCTTTTGATAGCATCTTTCCTCCAAGCTAATCTTGTACCTTTTCTGCCCCAGACACGGATCAGGTTTGCTGCCTTTTAGTGAGAAATGGTACTTAATTTTAGCTATTCTAATAAGGGTACAGTAGTATTTCACTGTGGATTTAATTTGCATTTCACTGATGACTAATGATTTTGAGCATCTTTTCATGTGCTGATTGACCATTCAGCTATCTTCTTTGGTGAAAGTGTCTGTTCAAATCTTTCATCCATTTAAAAAAGTTGGGTCATCTTGTTAATATTAAGTTGTAAGGGTTTCTTTTTTAAAATACGTATTCTGAATACAAGTCCTTTGACAGATATATGTATTGTGAATATTTCCCCCAATATTTGGCTTACCATTTAATGTCCTTAATTGTGTCTTTCAAAGAGCAGAAGTTTTATGTTTTAATGAAGTCCAATTTATCAATGATTTCTTTTATGGTAGTCCAACTTATCGATTATTTCTTTTATGGTTTCTTTTTTTTATGTCTTAAGATATCTTTCCCTATCCCAAGATTGTAAATATTTTTTCCCTATGTTTTCTTGAAATTTTATGGTTTTAGCTGTTATCTTAGGTCTATGATCCATTTTGAGTTAATTTTTGTGTATGGTGTGAGGTAAGGATTGTGGTTCATTGTTTTCCTATATGGATGTGCTGCTATTCCTGCACCATTTGTTGAAAAGATTGTTCTTCCCTCATTGAATTACCTTAGCATCATTTTTGCAAATCAATTGATCACATATGCATGGGTCTATCTCTGGACTCTCTGTTGTGTTCCATTGATCTATAGGTCTACCCTTATGCTAATATAAAATTGTCTCAATGACTCTAGCTTTATAGTAAGTCTTGAAATCAAGTAGTGTAAGTCTTTGAATTTTGTTTTTCTTTTTCAAAATTGTTAGCTTCTTTGCACTTCCATATTAGTTGTAGCTTGTCAATATCTACAAAAGAGTCTCCTGGAATTTTAATTGGAATTGCATTGAATCTATAGATCAACTTGGGGAGCATTGACATTTTAACAGTATTGACTGTTCCCATCTATTGACATAGCATACATTTCTATTTATTTAGATCTTCTTTAATTTCTCTCAGAAATGTTTTGTAGTTTTCAGTGTACAGGCCTCATACATATTTTGTTAAAATGTTTTTTAAGTATTTCATGTTTTGGATGTTACTGTAAATGATATTTTAAATTTCAGTTTCCACTTGTTTCTTGCTAAAATATAGAAATGAAATTGATTTTTGTATAATAGCCTTGTGTCCTATGACTTTGCCAAACTTACTTATTAACTTTAGTTGCCTTTTTTTACATGAGGAATGATATTTGAAGACTGCAATCTAGATTTTAGGAATGTTCATTGCTACTGGATCGTCATTGTTTCTAGGGCTTTTCATTGAGTTGTACCAGGAAGAAATCAAGATTACACACTGATATTTCCAATTTAAGTTTTAGATTACTGGGTTTTCACTTAAAACCTTTGATTTCATTTACTTGTATCTGTTTTCTCATGTTGAAAACCCTGGCTTCTAACATCATTAGCATAATTACTTGTTTTAGCCTATAATATACATATATTTGTATCAAAATATCAATATTAATATCATTACTAACATTAAGAATACTGAATGAAGTTCACGATTTTTTTGTTACAGTTCTTCTTATCCTTAGAATATATCCCACTGAGGATGTTCAGTAATAATGCTGTGTAATATAGTTAGATTCATTAATTCTCATTTATTTTCAATTTCTAGACATTGATTTTTAATTTAATTTAGTTTATTATCGTATAAAAATTTTTATTATTCCAAAGTTAAAACTAAATAACCACATTCAGACAAGTCTCATTTCCTTTACTATCCCTTCCATCCTATTCCCTCATGGGTAACTATTTCTATCAATATTTCATTAACTTTCCATTGATTCATTCTGCACATATAAGCAAATATTTTTTGTTTATTTACACTTGTATCTTTGGGATAGACTACTAGAAATGGGAATACTAGACCAAAAGATAAATGCATTTGTGAGTTTGTTGTCTATTGACAAATTCCCCCTCTAAAAGCCTGAACTATTTTGCATTCCCATCAGAAATGTATGAGACAGCCCTAGTTTTCCCACAAACTTGCTAACAGATTATAATGTCAAATTTTGGAGTTTTGCCAAAAGATAGATGAGAAATGGTATTTCAATATGATTTTAATTTATATATTGTACCATATTTTCAAAGATTATTTTTTTCTGGAAATTGCTAATGCTACACATTTTGCCTTTTAACAGGGACTACAGACCCTTGGAAAGGGAAACGGATTATATGACATGGACTTGACATTAATTATCTTCTGTGTTGAATTCTTGATCAACAATCAATTACACCTGAATTGCATATTAATTAATGTAAATTCAGAGACTGGCTATCTGTATTGTGGATTAGCTAAACCCTATTTCCTTTCTTCCTTCTTTTGATTTATGGCTATTTTACCAATAATTAATGTGTTCCTCATTAGCTGACTGCTTAGTCAGTAAACAACATAATGGAAACTTAACTAAATCCGTCGATTTCACTATTTGCTGGTCATTCAGCATTACAATTAGTTAAATAGTAAATTTCTCTCTGGATTGTTGATTTTAATAACGCATGTTAATTCCCAACCACCTTGGAAAACTGAGTGTTGTCTGAAAGTTACATGTGCCCTGATGACATATGCTTTAACAGCCTCTCTGGTGAATGGAATGAGAAAGGGGGGGTTTGCGTGAGTGAGTTTGCATTTCTGAACTGTTTTTCATGCCTCTGTTCATATTTGTCATTGAGGTTTTGGGTTAGTAAGGCAAACAGTCCTGGCAGGAAAGTGTTTTCAGGCACATGACAGATAGCTTAGACAAAGAGCAGAGCCCTGACCACCGCTGTTAGAAGTGTAGACACCTTCATGAGGGTTTGATTGTTAATGACATGTATCAGCAGCTCTCCTTTTCTTGATGTATATGGGTCATCAGTTAACCACATAATGCCCACGGTTTGCCAGAGGAATATCAGACTCTGAAAACCTGACTGGTAAGAAGCAGAGGTGGAGGGCAAGTGGTATGCACAGGGTGCCCCAGTTGACTTGCCCTGTACTCAAGTAAGGATAGCCCCTGCCCTATGTGAAAGGGTGGGAACACTCTCTGAGAGGCGGGGGCGCTGGTTTCCTGAAGCTGTCACCGTCTGAGTGTTAGTGGTTATGTCTCTTTAGAAGTCTCCTGGAAGAATCTCCTCAGTGAAACTTTCCCTTAGGCTGTCAGGTCCTTGAAGACGAGGATCAAATCTTGCACACCTTTAATCCCTATATGGGACTCATATTTCTTCCCAGTTCAGGGGAAGGGGATCAGAGATGCTGAAGCCTTGGTAAGCTGTGGCCTTGGCCAGTAGTTACCTTTTTTCTCCCACAGTTGTTCCAGGGAAACCAGTGGACTCCATGAGGGCAGAGATTGCATCTCTTTTGCCTACTATTGTATCCCCAGCACTTAGAAAGTGTTTGGCATATCACAGATGCTCAATTTGTTGAAGTCACCATCTTTCTCTCCTTCAGCGGCTGAGTGTCCCAGCCTTGCTTTGGGCCTGTACCGTCTCCAAGTCAATGAGAAAGAAATCCGACTGGTTTAGGACCCCCAACATCACACCTGCATAGGATCTAGAGTAGATCTGCTTAACTGAGCCCAGGGTAAGTTTCAGAGGTACAGCTTTCCTTCTTGTTCCTCATCCCACGTTTTATGTGTCTAATTTGATTGAATGGGATTCTTCTTAAGTGCCTACTAGGATTTGAGTCCTGCCATTAACCAGCCCCTTTGGTGATGGACCATATCCCCACATAGCTCTTGTTAGCCTTCACTCTTCTTCCCACTGGAGTTGGCCTCAGCTCCCAGAAGCCCCAGCTTTGTCCTGTGTCCGGGCTATCCCTGAATCCACAATGGAGGCATGATTTTGACAGCAAGTTTTGCTAGTACCCATTGACTCTTACACCAAGGTCCCCATCAGAACAGATTCCTTAACTACTGGTTCCAACCTGGATCATACATGAAGCAAACCCCTCTCTAACAACATACATGCACACACACACACACACACAACTTTGGACTTTGGACACACACAACTTTTGGACTAAATTTAAGATATTGTCTCCAGGACCGGCCCTGTGGTGCAGCAGTTAAGGTCACCCTTCCACTTTGGCAGCCCAGGGTTCGCCGGTTCGGATCCCGGGTGCGGATATGGCACCACTCATCAAGCCATGCTTTTGTAGGCATCCCATATCTAAAGTAGAGGAAGATGGGCATGGATGTTAGCTCAGGGCCAGTCTTCCTCAGCAAAAAGAGGAGGATTGGCAGCAGATGTTAGCTCAGGGCTGATCTTCCTCAAAACAAAAAAAAAGGATATTGTCTCCAATTTGGAGATTGGTTCTATTACCATTATGCCTTTTTAGTCAAAGCTCATTCATTCCTGGGGCTTACATCCATCTCTCTGCCAGCTCGCTGTTGGATTCCCAGTGGATCTCAGGGCCAGGGCTATGTATGGTTATGAGAAAGGCTCCTCTCTTTGGCACTGCACAAGAATTCCAGGGCTAAGAAGGAAAAAGAGAGCCTGACTTTATTGCTTCAATTCACCCTTATTTGTCCACTTCTTTGAAACAGGAGTGTCTTGCTGTCCTTTTCTAAACCACACAACTGACACATATTTTTAAAATTAATGTGTTCCTATGATTTTGTTCCCTGGGCTAATAATTTATCTAAAGGAGATACATGAGCCAATTCTGGCAAATGAAAGGGAAGTGGAGCTGATCTGGGAGGGATATTCTTCCTCAAAAACAAGACAAAGGCATCTAAGGAAAAAGCTCTTGCCCCCTCCCCGTTTTTATTCCCTTGAACAGGGGGAATGCCTGGAACAGCAGAAGCAGACCTCCTGCAACTTCCAGATGACAGCATGAGGACAAAAGCCAGCAGGCTAAGCACAGCAGAGTGGGAAGAGAGCTGAGTCCCTTATGGCATCATTTTGCAGCTGAACTGATGCCAGCAACAACCTGCCTCTGGACTTGTGAGAAAATTTATCTATTATTTGTTTAAGCCTAAAGTTGGGTTTTCTTTTCCTTGCAAAAGCATCAGTTCTAACTTGGAGTTAATTTCTCTTTTTAGCACACCAGTCTGGTCTCATTTCTGGGTACTGTCTCATCTGACACTTATTGGGACCTCACATTCACACATCCCTGGCCCAACGTCTCTGGGAATTTTAGTTTTCCTTTTGTTGTAGCTTTGAGCTCTATACTTTGCCCTGCCCACCACTGGATGTCCACCTGCACTTTTCTCTAAAGAGTTGATAGTTTACTCCAACATGAATATTATGTTTTTAAAATATGGGAAACGATGCAGGAAGGACCTACTACGTGTCAAGGCTCCCCCTCCCCCCCAAACACACTCACATACCAGATATATATAGACCTTACCTCACTGACTCTTCACAGAGGCCCAGTGTGGTAGGTATTAGCCTTCTCCCCCACCCCTTTTATAGCAGAGAAAACGTAAGCACAGAGAGGTTGGGGCATTTGCCCAAGGCCTCTCAGCTAGCAGTTAGTAGAGCCAGTTTTTACATCTACATCTACTGGATCTCAAATATGCCCTTGACTTTCGAGAGACAGGCTTGTATTTGTCAGGGTTCTTAGCTGCAAACAAAGTAGTGCACTCTAGTTCATTTAAGCAGAAGGGCATTTATTTCAGGGTATAAGGTAGCTTACAGAATTTTCAAGAGCGCCAGGGACCAAGTTAAATGCTGCACAGCTCAGAAATACCCAACCACACCATGGACTGTCAACACAGAAATCCCATGGCTACTTGCGCTTGTAAGCACCGGGCGCCCACGATGCTAGGGCGCGGGGAGGCGTATCCTGCCACAGCAGCCGTGGAAGAATCAAATGCCTCCGCCACAGGAGCCAGTCGGCTGCCGTGCAGCTGCCTCCTCCTGGGACTTTTTCACTTTCCAAGTCTCCCAAGCTGGCTTGGCAAAACCTGGGTCGTGTATGTAGCTGGTCCACAAGGGAGTCTAGGAAACTGAGTTCTTAGTTTTCCAGCATCTAGAGGTCAGGATGGCAAGTAAGAAGGGTTTGGAACTGGGACTGAATGAGCCAATAGGAGGCTCTGCCACAGGCTTCCTTAAAGAAAAATCTTTCTTTATTGGGAGAGCTACTTAGTTAAGCACTGCCACAAGGCAGGGAGAGCAAATGGATTGCAATTCAGGGGCTTCTCTGAAAAGTTCATAGTGTTAGATGAGATTTTTTTAAAGATTTTATTTTTCCTTCTTCTCCCCAAAGCCCCCCAGTACGTAGTTGTATACTTTTAGTTGTGGGTCCCTCTAGTTGTGGCATGTGGGATGCCGCCTCAGCATGGCTTGATGAGCGGTGCCATGTCGAGCCCAGGATCTGAAGTGGTGAAACCCTGGACTGCCAAAGCAGAGCGCACGAACTTAACCACTCGGCCACGGGCCGGCCCCAAGTTCACAGTGTTAGGATGATTGAGATGGAATTTCAGGAATGAGGGCCGTGATGAATGAATGATGCCTCCGCTGAGCTGAGGAGGAGGAAATAGGGGATACTCGCTACAGGTTGAAGAGTTATTCCTGAAATTTGTTTTAGGTAGCTCAGTATATAAACTTATTAAAATATTCACAGACTTCTTGTTTAAGATGGTGATCTACTTCAAAGAAATTCAACACTTAAAAATTTTGTTTTACCCTCTTTTAAATTTACTTCTGGAGGAATATGGCCAAAGAAAGCCTTTCTTTCTGCTCCTCCATGAGCATATGGAAAAGCCAACCTGTGGGACATCCTTTCTATTTGCTGTGATCGTACATGAGATGTTAAATAAAAGGCCTTTCTCTTGATGAGAAGTCTTGTTGGATTGATAGGGTGGAGGAATACTTTCTAGCTGCTCCCATACCCAACACATTAGCAATGGGCACATTTTAACAACGTAAAAAAACCAAACCTTGGTAAGCTTCTTCATTGATTATTCTATGCTAAATTGTAATTTTTTTTTTCCTTTCAACGGCAATGTTCATTAATTTAATACCACCAGCTAGCTGACAGGTTGTCCTCTAGCCTGTCAAAGGCATTGACGAGTGACAAGGATATTGCTTTTCTTGAAGGATTCTGGGGGGGGGGCTTTTTACTCTCACTCAAAGGGTACTGACAGCAGAGAATGTCACTTCACTGGCAAGGAGTCTCCAACTGGCAGATTGAACATTTCCTGCTGCTGCCAGAAACCAGATACCACAGAGTGAAGCTCTTCTTTGCATTCAGCGTCCGCCCCCCCGCTTCACCCCCCTCCCCACCGCCCTGTTCATTCATTTTCAGAGCCTGTTTTTCTTTTGACAACACTTCCCAGAGAGAAGTGTGACAAGTGTACAAATGAACTGTCTATTCCTACTTTGCAGTATAACAACATGTCTACTGTCGTAAATCCTCAAACATAGCAGCTTCTAGTTCATTTTCTTGATGTATTCATTACAGTAGCTATACTGGGGGTTATCACAGCAAATTTTCGTTAGTGAATATCTCAAAAGATAAAAGTGTGTCTCTCTGAAGGATTGCATAGCTTTCATAAAGATTACTATGAAGTTACTTCAAACCGAATCATGCTTTTCCTATTAACATCACCTTACAAAGGAGGAATTTCATGCTTATAAAAAGATTAGTCTCAACATGGATGTAAAAACACTCAAGAGAACACAGCAATTAAGAAAAAAACTTTGAAAAGAAAAAGGAACATCGGTAATAACAATTGTAGCACAGATTCAGTGTTTGTTGGACTAAAATCATGTTATTTGAATATAGATCCTCCTGTGTCATTAGGCCTAGTTAATAAGTAACCCTTTTAAAAATCTCAGATCTACTGCTTTTAGCCATTTGTTGCAAAGGGATTTAGGTTTTGCTGTTTGCTCATCAGTTTGCTTAATTTTGTTAAAGACTTCTCTTTGTACAGTAGGTCTCACTGCTTTCAAAATACCTGATAGATAAAATGCTCGATTGGCGTCTTTCGTATGAGTTTTCTGCTATCGTTGGTGAGCCCAGGACTGAATCTTATTTCCAGAACCAGGCCTACTGCCTGAGCCATAATACATTGTCAATGACTGGATAAGTTAACTTTAACTCCCACATGCTGTGAAATAATCACTGCCCTAATTTTTTTTATTTCTCTAAGTTTGTATGTCAGCATAGGAGGTTTTATTTAAATGGAATAATGTAAAGTAATTAATAGCAAAAGATGAGGTAAACGTAAGGAAAAGGAAGAGAGCAGATCGTTGAGAAGAAAGAAACTCATAGAAGTTTGGATAACAAGAATGTCTGGTTGAACAGTTGCTAGTTGAGGGCTGGTTCAGCCTAGAGTAGGGGTTGGCAAACTGAATTTTTGGCCAAAACTGGCCCAGTGCCTGTTTCTGTACAGCTCATAAACCAAGAGTGGTTTTATATTTTTAAATGGTTGAAAAAAACGAAAGAAATCTATTTTGTGGCATGGGAAAATTTTAAGAAATTCAAATTTCAGCATCCATGAATAAAGTTTTATCAGAACACAGCTGCTCCATTGGTTTAAGTATTGTCTATGGCTGCTTTCACACTACAAGGGCCAAGTTAAGTGATTGTGAAAGAGATCATATAGTCTGCAAAACCTAAAATGTTTACTATCTGGCCATTTACAGCAAGAAGTTGTTGACCCCTGGACTGGATTTCTGAGTTTAAATTTTGATACTTCCCTCTTCCTCACTTCTCCTTTTCTACACCCCTCCTTTTCTTTTCTTTTCTTTTTTTTTTTTAAAGATTTTATTTTTCTCCCCAAAGCCCCCCGGTACATAGTTGTGTATTTTTAGTTGTGGATCCTTCTAGTTGTGGCGTGTGGGACGCCGCCTCAGCATGGCTTGATGAGCGGTGCCGTGTCCCAGCCCAGGATTTGAACAGGTGAAACCCTGGGCCACTGAAGCAGAGGGCACAAACTTGACCACTCAGCCATGGGGCCGGCCCCCTCTTTTTCTATACGCATCTTCGGAAGCCACAATCTGAGCTCAGAGGTGGCATCTGGTCAAAGAGCAGGTCTTGGTTTACGCCTACGTCTGAAGTAGAAGAGGCCCAGAAAGGGCAGAGAACTTGATAGAAGGCAAACCTGGGTTTAGATTCTGGCTCTGCTGGTTGTATATCTTTACTTAATGAATGTCAGTTTTGTCCTCTGTAAAATGGGGATAATACTTCACAGATATGTAGTCGAAAAAAGTTGAATATGTGCAATGCCTGATATATACTATCTTCTCAACAAATATTAGCTTTCTTTCCAGTTATCTAAGGGACAGTGCTCTGTGCTTGTGGTTGTTTCCCTAAATTCACAGAGATGGTTGGGAGAGGAAGAATTCCTTGCATGGAAAAAACCAGGAGTTTTTTCCTAATTTTTCCTCTGGTTCCTCTCCTGGTAGGGTGATTTAAAGCAACCCTCCCTGGCTTAAGTGGAATTCCTCTCAAGACTGCAATAGGGGTCCTTCACCCTGGGGTCTGAGGAGGCCTGCCTTGTACAAGTAATATTGTGGCTGATGTAAAGAATCTTTGCTTGTACGTGACTTTTCATTGTTTTATTGAAGTTTATCAACTTTTTTTTCACTTTCATTTAGTTCTGTTTTTTTTTTTATAAACAGTGTATGTGTGGAGGAGGAAGACATATCCTCTACCTTCTGGCTGGCCTATGAATTAAATTGATGTGAGACAGAATAACAGGAAAAAATCAAACAAAGCTTATAACACATGTACATGGGAGACACTCAGGAAAATTGAGCAACTCACCAAAATGGCGGAGGCTCTCATCTTAAATACCATCTTCAGCTAAAGACAAAGGAGGATGTTGGGGGTGGTGGTTTGGGGCTTCAGAGGTGAGGAAGGCAATTTTCACATGGAGATGGAAAAGCAAATGTTTGGTAAACAGAACTTTGATGAGAGTGGGCTTAGCTAGGATCCTCCCAGTCTACTGATACCCAGAGTTATCTATGGTGATACCCTGTCCTGGGGACAG